GCATGCAGTACGTGTTAACTTTGATTTGATGTAGTGTTTAAAATGCCGTTTATTCGGTGTTATTTGTTTACTTTCTATGTCAACAGCAACTATTAGTGAAGATCCAGTGAAGTTTGCAGAGAATTGTAGCCATTGTGCATGTCATTGCACGGAATACAAAGTAACACTACTTACCTTTGTTTCGGATCTAATTTGTTCTGCTAAAACTAATGGATTTTCATACAATTTTACTTGGTTTTGAGAGTTTAATTTACTGTCAAACCATTTCTGTTTTTCCTTGACACATTTCTCAACTTTCTTCATATCATCACTAGCTATATGATCATATTTTTCATCCTAGAGAAGATAAAACACAGTGACATGCATGTCAATGTCACAGAGCAAATTACAGATAACTGTTACACAAGCAAATAATTATTGTTGGATCAATGAGATATCTGGTACAACATTAATTCAGTTGATCAGAAAGCAATGTAATCCAAATGTAATCTAGCACACAAGCGAAAGTTACAACACAGAGAAATGTATTGTGACTATTAGTATGTGCCAAGCTCTTCATTTTGTACACTACTGACATCACAACCCTGCTCATGCCCACCGTGGATGGTATTGCAAGGAACTCACCTTTTGTTTGTATAAATCTAAGACTTTTCTAATAATTTGAAGTGCTGCACCTAGAGCTTCAAACGCTTTAGGCCGCTCTGCGTGTTCTCGGAACCTTGATGCAACAGGATCACCTAGTTTTTTCAATGATGCCAGTTTATCGATATATACTTGTTTACTTTCGTCTTCACCCTCTTCATACAACCAGTTTTCTGTGTCATCTAGCAATTTACTAAATGATGTCCTGTCCTGAAAAACAAAGATAGCATTCAGGTTGGCAAAATTGTAAACATACGATGTCACAGTGCAACAGTGTACACAAAATGAAATAAAAGATTTGACACATGTAAAACAGTAACTGAGACTCAAATACTACACGATTGTAACAGCACAATGGGTCTGTCAACATTCATTTAAAGGGGCACAGCCTATGTCAAAAGTTTTGGTTAGATACTAGCGTATTAAAAATATCAGGGGGTTAACACATTTTTTTTAAAAAGCTCTGACAATCAGAAAACAGTTGTAACAACATAGCAAAGTTGACAACACCATCAGGGGATTAATTATATTATTATCATGTTTGAATACCACAATTATTGCAAAAGATTGGTGCCACATTCCCAACATTGATTTTGGACCAAACACTAGTTTCCATTTCTACAAGTCTTGATTTAAACAAATTTGATGACACTTTGTTGGATCAATGAGATATCTGGTACAACATTAATTCAGTTGATCAGAAAGCAATGTAATCCTAATGTAATCTAGCACACAAGCGAAAGTTACAACACAGAGAAATGCATTGTGACTATTAGTATGTGCAACTCTGAAGTTGTCTTTGTTAGGGGTGATCTCATATTCAAACACCTGGGTCTAACCTGGGTAAACCTGACCTGCCCTATTCAGACCTACTAGACCTACAATATGCAAATTAGTAGTAGGTTTGAACCTAACCTCCCGATTAACTGCCCATTAATGCCCCCACTGAAAACAAACAGAACAAAGAAGACAGACCTAGGGAAACCTAGGTTTTTCTTACAATACTGTTTCAGCCTGGTTTCAGTAGGAAAAAAAAAATAAGATGTATACTATGGAGCTCCATGTTCATACTGAGTGTTATATTTTGAAGTGTTAAGAATTACAGCAGCGATTTTTTTTTCTTTGCAAGTCTTGTACATGTAAATGCTAATAAAAAACAAACTTGCATTTGTTTCACAAATCTATTTACATCATGTCATTTATAAGTGTGATGAAAATTATATTCATTTATTTCTGTGATTGGTAATAATAATCAGTTTCCCACAACTTACATTTTGGTACAAGTCAATACAATTGTTATTGTTATTCAATTTATCTGGAATTAATTACAGACGTGATGGTTTGTTATATTTTGTCATTAAATGTGAATCAAGTGATACCATAAACCCTCTCTCTTGTGATATATATGGTAAATAATGTTTGAAACAGAACAGGGAAAAGATGCACTAGAATTTTAATGA